TTGGAGTAACGTTACTTGGCGGATTCTTTTTTTGCAAACTGTTAATTAATTCGTTTAATCCGCTATTCACCAATTTTTTGGTAGTTCTTTACCATCTATGATTGCTGACCACATATCAAAGTTTCGCTAAAATACAAGTTTACATTCAGTATGTAACGGTCGGTAAATTTTCTTTCTTTTATCATTCAAATAAAAAAAAAAAAAAAAATACTAAATTTTTTATTTTTCACGAACAGTCTCATTATTTTTTTTTTTAAAGGGAAAAAAAATTTTCCTGTAGTTAAAGGGTGATGAAATACAGCATTTTTTTTCGCGTTGAAGAAACCTTTCTTTATTGGTTTAGATCGTTCGTTATATTATGAACCATTCTATAAATATATTCCCAAACAATCCAAAACAATAAGAACGAAAATGGTACAGATTGAAAGGTAACCCTATGCTAATAGCTTCGATTTCAAAACTTATAGTTGACGTCTGCTAGACTTTATGTCATAGTCGTACAATATAAGTCATATTCAATTCAGAAGCGCGCTAAATAGACATTCATCGAAAAACCAAACGTACTGTATGATGGTAAAAATCATATTACAGTAACCTTCTACAATTGAATATGATTATCTGACAATTGACCCAACATATTGATCAACACAAAATTCAATGTCAACAAAGTTACTCCGCATCAGGGCGTTTTTTTTTTTCCTAAAACCAAACCCCAAATAGTATTATTCATGTGCAAGTACAATCGATAAAAACATGAGATTTTTCGTAAAATCAGGATTTAAAACGAGAATATGAACTTATGAATGGAAGAACAATAGAAAATTATTTTTTATGAGCACGGGTGTAATTCATAGCCTTTTTGACATTTCTGTGATTTCTAAATGAGTAAAGTTCATTGTTCTATTCCGATTATCATATTGAAACCTTAAATTTTTTTAAGGGTAAATTTATCCCCCGCATTAGATCACTTTGACGCTAAAATTGGAATTGAAATGTATCGCGTCAAAAAAAAAAATTCATTTGCAAATTGTTAACATTTCTAAAAAAAAAATTTTTTTTTTTTCCTCGCCTATAATTAATCGTAGTTTGGAAAGTTTAGGTCGTAAAAAATCACAAGTTCGAATTATATTGTTCTCTTTAAAATAAAACAAAGAAAAATTCTAAAGATGTAATTTTCACGAGCAAAAAAAAAAAAAAAAAAAAAAAAATTATTTTAGATTATGTATGCATAAATTTTTTTTATACACATATGCATTCGTCGTTCGTTTTAAGAATAAAATATTTTAATATTCTATATGGATTAAAAATTTAGGCATTGCGCAATAAATATCCCCAACATTTTTCATTTCATTTCGATTTGCTCACCATTTTTATCGAAAAATAAAAAAAAAAAATAATAATCCTCATTTTATCCTTATTTTTTTTTTTTCTAAAAATTTATCCTTCCCCGCAATATATATATTACAAAAAACAAACAAACAAACAAAAAACAACAACAACAATAACGCATATTCAGCTCGTTAAAAAAAAAAGTTCCCTCCAAAATAAATTAAAAAAAAAAATGTTTGAAGAAATCTTTAAAAAACGAATTCACGAAATGAATTCGCTTATAACCCGTAAGGAAAGCAAACTGGTATATGAAGAGGAATGTAATCGTTTAAAAGATATAGTGGAACATCTAACAGAACAACGTAAAGAATCGGTAGATACCATAAAATTGGTGAATAGCGGATTAAACGAATTAATTAACAGTTTGCAAAAAAAGAATCCGCCAAGTAACGTTACTCCAA